CAATAAACAATCATCGGAAGTTAATACTCAATTGGAAAAACCTATTCAAGCAGCTGAAAATAAAGGCTTATTTAAAACACTTTTTGATTTGGATAATGTCAAACAAACAGTAAACTGTTTCATTAAACCACGTAATCACAATATCCGCCTGCAGATATACTTACTCTTTGCCGTCCTTTTTACCCAAGTTCTTGTTACCAATGGAATAAAGAACATCTTATTGCAGTTTGCTCAGAAGGTGTATGAATGGAGGTAAACGATAAATTGTTTATAAACAACTTTTATCATTTTTTATGTTTGCAGTGCTACTACATACACAACTGTTGCAGCTATTGAGCAAATAGCTCGAACGCTTTTGATGGGCATTTTCTCAATTATCTTCATGAAATGCTTAAAACTGCAAGACAACACTCTTGTGATTTTTGCTCAGATTTCAACGTTGCTTTCTGATTTTGTCAAAGGCATTGTACTGGACCCAATTGCTTTCTTTGTTTCACTTCCAATCGGTAATTTTAAAACGTAAATTTTTTTATAAATTGGTTTCTAATGACAAATCTGCAGGTGCATTTTCTGGATTTGGAGAAATTTCTATTAGAACAAAAATTTCAAAAATTGTCTCTGAAGATGAAGTTGCCAAAATGTTCAGTTTGTCATCAACAATTGAAGCATTGGTAAAACTTTGATAAAAATATAATTGAAGTAATTATGAACGATTTTTATTCTTAACAGGTTCCAATTGCTGCTTCCTTAATCTACCCTAATATATTTTCTCTCAGCATAAGCACTCATCCCGGACTGATATATCTTTGCAGCTGTGTTTTGCTCTTGTTTTCAATAGTCCTTTTATTTTTTGAACGGTGTTTGTGTCCTGTTAAATCACTCAAAGAATATGAAGAAATGCTAGAGAATAAACAAAAAGCTTGATCCAAAAATATTGCGTTACTAATTATTTGCATTATCTTTTTGTGCTAATTTTAACTTTAGAGGTTTTGACATTTTCTCTTATTTTGCACCAAAAGTGCACACAGCAGATAGTGAGCATTTTAAGAAGCAACCTTTGTTTATCTTACGCTGTTGCCACACGCTTAAGTTTGACTTGGGCCGTTAACCGCCTTCCTAGTGTTATCAGCTGTTGTTTTCAATACCAATAATGCCATCCCCTTCACATCTCCAGAGAAAACATGAATCACCTCAGAGGTTAGCATCATGTTGTTGTGCTACACTTCTCAGCTCGAGATAACGAGTTTGCGTCTACTGAAGAACTCGTACATTGAGGCATTGATACCAAAGAAAGGCAGTGATTAAAGATGGAAAGTGATCAACAGCTGAGACTGGTTTCCATTAGAAACCTCCAAGGGTATGTACTCGTATCACAATTAGGCAGACGCTCGCCAGTGGCGCAACAGTCTGGCTGTTTAAAAACTGGTTTTAAGAGCATCTCATAGTGCAAAAACATCTCAAGTGAAAACTGTTTAGCACTTTGTTTTTCTTTGTCTGTGATCGCTTTAGCATTTCTGCTACAAAAATGTCTAAACTACTAGCTTCACTTCGTGCTTCAAATTATTATTTATTTGAACTGTTTCTTTTTCTTCGATTGTCATCGGTGTTTGCCTCGGCTATAGCCTATTCAATGCTTTTGCAAGATAAGCTATGTTATATCAGCTATAACCAAACGGCTGCCTTTTGTCAAAACATTCAAGCCGACATTTCAAATACTTCAAATGAAATGGTGAAAAATGACATTCTAGCAGAAACGACACGTTTTTCAAACTACAAGTAAACAAATAATCAACTCGCCACCTGAACTAATTGAATTACTTCCATAGAAATGTCCTAGAATGCATTCCCATGTTTATTTGGTCCATGTTCGTTGGGTCGTTTCTTGACAAGTTTCCCGGTGGCACAAACATCATTCTTTTTCTCAATCTCATTGGAAGCACATTTACGCTGGTCGTTTACATTCTTAATATGTACGCTTATGAAATAAGTAAGATTTTAATTGTTGTTTCTATTTTGTCCAAAATGATTGTTTTTCTTTAGGCCCGTACTACCTTTTGATTGGATCACTTTCCATTTCTTTTACCGGCGGTATGATCTCTCTTTTAACTTCTGCTTACCGGTACATCACTTTAAGCACTAATGAGACGAACCGATCACTCAAGTTTGTCACTCTGGAAATTATCTACATTATCGGTACTATTTCATTTTCACGACTATTTTTATAAATTTAACAAATTGTTTTTAGGCGTTTCATTGGCAGTTTTTCTTGGCGGTCAGCTACTGGTTCTTCGAGTAGTTGACAAAACCAGTCCACAACTGCGCACTTACGGACGCAATTTTTTCACATCACTTGTTATCGATGGTATCTCATTTGTGATTCTCTTTGCTCTCACCCGTGTTGATAAGTCAGCACCGGAAAAGAAAAATCTTCAAGATCTTGAAGACAGTGTCGTGTACTCGGAAATTGAAGATTTAATTACACTTGAAGCAAATAACAACTATGATGCAATGGAACCGGGAACCTCTGCAGATACTATTAACGACAAACAGTCTCGTCGTCATCTGGTTTCAGCAAGTGAAGACACAACGTCACAGTATTTATTGAGCTTAAAAATGAAAGAAGGAGGCTTGAAAAACTTTTTCAGATCACTCTTTGACATTGACAATGTTCAACAGACACTGAACACGTTTTTCAAAAAACGAGAAGGCTTTGCTCGATTACAAATATTTCTTCTGTATCTCATTCTTTTTTCTCAAATATTGACCACGCAAGGCATCTCCGTTGTGATGCTTCAGTGGACAGAAAGGGTCTATAACTGGAACTCAACAAATTACAGTACATTTACGGCCGTTTCCACATTTGCTTCGATGCTTTTGCTGGCAATTGGCTCACTGATTTTCATCAAGAAAATGCAGCTCAGCGATGATGCCCTTATCATCATTTCGCAATTGTCGAGTTTTTTCAAAAATATCATTTTGGGAACCTTCCTCTCTCCTGCGGTTTTCTTTGTGTCCATTTTGGTTGGTAAGTAATCTTATTGTTTTAAATATAACAAGTGACTAATTAACATATCTAGGTTCATTGTCCGGTTTCACTCCTATTTCAGCTAGGACAAAACTGTCAAAAATCGTGTCAGCTGATGAAGTAGGAAAAATTTTTTCATTGTCGTCAACCATTGATGCCCTGATACCGATTATCGGTTCATTGATTTATACCAATTTGTTTTCTATCAGCATTAGCACCTTTCCAGGCTTGATTTACCAGTTCAGTGCTTTTGTGATGTTTCTTTCACTTGTTGTGATTGTTTTTGAGCGAATTTATTGTCCCGTGATTGAAAATAGCAATGCTGAACGTTCAAGGGAATATAATGAACTGTAACCATAAAATGGTGTAGTTTCTAGTCAATAAAGTTTCCTAAAAATGAATGATTACAATTTTAAGTTTTGTACATTACTTTTTTTGAAATATTGAGATGCTGTTTTTACGACTTTATTAAAATGTTTTAACAAGAAAAAGCTACACATATCAATGTTTTTGAGTAAAAATGCCTATTGAAACAAAAAGTGCTACAAAAATCATTACAAAATCTTTCGAATTTTAGCAAAGTTCACGTCATCAACTATCTAGTATCCGCTACTAGATTCACTTTTATGGCTATAAAATAATCTGTTTAGCTTGACTTTTTTTCATTTAGTAGTATTTTTGCTCTTTTCTCAATCCATTTCTTAGTAAAACTTGGCAAGCAGTGTCATGGCCACGCCACCCTCTAACCACAGCATCATTTCAGCGTCGAGTGAATCGATCGATTTGGGCAACGCTCAAACTGCTCGTGACTCCTCTGTGTCCCTAGCCATTTCCAATGTATCTCGGATCTCTGCCTTGCTAGAGGACATGCGCTCAAACAAGTCACAATGGGCGATTGGCGACCAGATGGGCAACGCCTACTACTTCCTCAACGGTAGTCTCTACAAGCAAGGAAATGTCCTCAACCGAGCCGGCCTTCGCAACAGGCTGGAAATTCGAAACCAGGAGCTTTTTTTCGAAAAGTTGGCCAGTGTCATGCTTGAGCAGTCGACGACCTTTGTAGAGGTGCAACTGTGCGGCAAGGCGGCCGCTGAGCTGATGTACTGCCACTCGACACTGCAACACCTGGAGCCGAAGCGTCGAATGCTGCTGCTCGGCCAAACGGCTCTCGTCCAGGGCTGTGTCAACAACTACTACAGCAAGCCGACAGTGGTCGCCACGGGCACTTGCGTCCAACTGTACGGCCGTACATTCTACATTCAAGTCAGCTCCAATCAGCACACCATTTACATGCGCGTCGAGGACATCATCAAGAACCGAGTTCGTCTGGTGCCGCGGCCACAGACCGGTGGCGAGGTGAATGATGCCGCCTCTACTTTGACGCTCAACTCCGAGGATGAAGAGTCCACTGATTTGGATGACGTGGACAATGAGGACTCGGAGGAGTTTGAGCGAGACAGCGATACCAGTGAAGGCTCTCAAACTGTCTCTCCCGCTCGCCGTGCTGGTGCTGCTCGCATTCGCCCGGTTCGTAGACGTCGCACTACTGTGCGCAACCAAATTGCCATTGTCGAAGCTGAGATTGCAGCCACCGCTCGCAGAACCGCAGGCAACGCTACCGTACCCGCTGATGCTGAAACGGATGCTCACGGACTTCTCTTGCCCGGTGGCATTCGTGCGCTGCTGTTCAGAGATGCGACCGTTCAGACGGAGAACAATGACGTGCAAAACACTGAAGAAGGGGAGAACGATGACGATGCTCGTCCTCAACGCCCACATTCTGTCTAGTCGCCGTCATTGGATTTGACTAGGTGCACCGGCCGTATTCAATTTACTTTTAGTTTTACAAGTTACAAATGTACACTTTTTCAGGTTGTGTTTTTTTACTTTCGTTCTTGTAACCCTGTTTCCCAAATAAAAATGTAACGGATAAATATTTATTTTTGTAAAAATGCGAAAATAAATAGTCTTCTGACTAGAAGTAGGTGACATCTTCAAAAAAGCCACCCGGTCGGTGGCGCAACATCAGACGGCGAACCTCATCGTAGAGGATAATGTACACTGCGAATGGCAGAGCGACAAACCAGTTGAACCAACTAGAAGATAATTTATAAAGAGTTAACTGTAAAGTGTGTGGACCAACATTCAACAAACTTACTAAAGCGGGAATAGCTTGAGAATGTACATTCCCGGGCAGTAGCTGAGGAACAGTGCCAGAATGGTCTCAACGACGAGACTAATGTTGAGAACATTATTGCTACAAAAACATAAGGTCAGTGGTATAGAAAAGTAAAATTTAGAAACCAAAAAACTTACGTCATTCCCTGCTTGCAGATGTTGTTGCGACGTGTCTTGCAGATGATCAAGTCCGCCCACTGACAGACAACGATGCTCACAAAGTAAGCCGTCTGCGCGGTGCCTTCAATTTTCTTTCTCTTGCCATAGTCCTGTGTTAAACAAAACAAATCAGTCTACTACATCTACCAGTAAAAACAAACAAACTTACAAAAGCTTCATCGTACCGATTGACAATGAGGTACTGCTTATTGTCCCAGACGGAGCGCAAGTTGAACAAATCAGTAATGAAGAAGCCACTGGCCGCTAAGACCATGAAGTAGTTCATGAACCCAGCCGACGCCTGGATCATGCCAATCTGAAAGTAGGCACGGTTGAACATTCGTCGAGTGACCAGGTGGTCCTCACGACTTCGCGGCTTCTGCTTCATAATGTCTGACTCGGCCTTCTCATAGGCGAGACTGATCGCCGGAAAGATGTCAGTGCCCAGGTCAATGCAGAGAATGGTGGTGGTGCCCAGGGCGAGTGGAAAGCCCAGCGCCACGTAGACGAGAAAAGGCATGATCTCTGCGTAGTTGGACGCCAAGGTGTACGCAATAGACTTCTTCAGGTTGTCAAAGATGACACGGCCCTCCTCAATGCCCACGATGATCGAAGCAAAGTTGTCGTCGAGAAGAATCAAGTCGGCGGCTTGTTTTGAGACGTCAGAGCCAGTGATGCCCATAGCAATGCCGATGTTGGCGCTTTTCAACGCCGGCGAGTCATTGACGCCGTCTCCAGTGACAGCGACCATGTGACCCTGTGTAGTTGGGGGTTTGAAAAAAGAAATGAAAAAAAATTGTAAAGCAGAAGAACATTGAAAGGGCAAACAAACCAAACGCTGACACGACTGAACAATCATCAGCTTCTGCTGCGGCGAGGTGCGAGCAAAGACAATTTCCATGTAGTTCCTGACGACGTAGTCTAGGTGGTCGCTGCTCAGCTTGCTCAGCATGTCACCGGGCACCACCATGGCCTTGCCCTCACCCTCCCCTTCCACGCCCTCGCCCAGACGGAAGATGCGCTTCAGTAGAGCGTCGTCGAGCTGAACGATGTCCTCCTTGGCCTTGGTGATGATGCCGACGCCCTCGGCGATAGCACGTGCCGTCAGTGGGTGGTCGCCCGTCACCATGAACACTCGAATGCCTGCCTGGCGACACTTGGCCACGGCGTCAGGCACCTCCGGTCGAGCCGGGTCAATGAGCGACATCAGGCCCAGCAGGGTGAACTTGTTGGCCGTCTTCAAGTTGACCTTGGTGTGACCGGCGTCCTCGAAGATGCTGTCGAGATTGTTGATGTACATCTCAGCAAAACCCAGCACCCGTTCTCCCTTGCCGGCCAGATGCTCAAAGATGGCGCCCATCGTGCGGCGGGCTACCGCGTCAAAGTCACGCGACTCGCCGTTCAGCAGAATAGAGTTGCAGAGGTTGAGGATTCGCTCTGGGGCGCCCTTGATGCAGACGAGGTACTTGTGGTGTTGGTAGTGCTTTGAAGCAGGGTTTGCCAACTCGTGCACAGTCAGGTAGTACTTGTTGAAGGAGTTGAATGGAATCTCCGCTACTACGGGGTACTTTCGGCGAATTCGATTCACGCTGACGCTGAGGCTAGCGACAAACTTGAAGAGTGCCGTCTCAGAGGCGTCTCCAGTGCACTCTCTGAAGGCATAAGTTAATAACGGTCTGTTTAATAGGATTCTTGTTTACCTTTTTTCCAAGGGCAAGCGCTTTTGGTTTGGCTTAAACTTTGCCTTGTTACAAAGCGTAACGACTCGGAGAAAGTCTTCAAAGCCGGAAGCCTTATTGGCAAAAAATGCCTTCACTTTGGGGTTCTTTGGCGCCTCTTTAAGTCCTTTTATGGCGATGGTATCATTTCCGAACCAAACATGAGCGACGCTCATGCGATTTTGCGTCAGAGTGCCCGTTTTGTCAGAGCAGATAATTGAGGTGGAGCCAAGCGTTTCCACGGCTTGAAGATTTTTCACCAGGCAGTTTTTCTTTGCCATGGACTTGGCGGTAAGCGTCAGACTGACGGTGACTGTGGCCAGCAGGCCTTCAGGCACGTTCGCCACAATGATGCCGATGAAGAAGATGACAGCCTCGAGCCAGTTGTAGCCAATGCAAAGGGAAAGAATGAAGAAGATGGTGCCCAGGGTGGAGGAGAACAGGGTCACCAGTTTGATGAAGTGCTTGATCTCCAGAGCAATGGAGGTCTCCGAGCTGCCCAGGCCAGTGGTGAGAAAGGCAATCTGGCCAATGAGGGTCGAGTCACCGGTTCGAATGACCATGCCTCGAGCTCTGCCTTCGGTGACGTACGTTGAGAAGAAGGCAATGTTCTCCGTCTCCAGCGGGTTCTCATGGGTGCACTGGTTGCTTCGCTGTAAAGGCTCACTTTCGCCGGTAATCGAAGAGTTGTCCACTTTGCAGCTTGAAGCTAAAATTGAAAGTGTTGTAAAACTAGAGTTGTTTTAACCGAAAGTAGCAAGAACTTACACTCAAGAATGAGAATATCTGCGGGCACCTGGTCTCCGCTGTTGACTTCCACAATGTCGCCCAACACCAGGTACACTGGGTCGGTCTCCTGAAGGACACCATCTCGGAGGACAAATGCCTTTCGTGGAATGAGATCTTTGAAGGAGTCCATTATAGCTGAAGATTTAGATTCCTGGTAGTAGGCAAAGGCGCCTGTGAGGATGACCACTACAATGAGTGTCACGCCGAGGTAAAGCTAGAAATCATTTAAATGAAAAACATTGTTTGCAAAGTATGACATTCACTTACATTGTCCTTCTCTGGATCCTCCTCATCGAAGCAACTAATGGTGTACACGAAGAGGCATAATATGGCGCCAAACCAGAGAAGCAAAGAAAAGCCTCCAGCCAACTGCTTGAGGAATTTCACAACTTCGGGCGTTTGTTTTGGTGGCGTCAGCTGATTTTTGCCGTACATTGTCAGGCGCTGTTCAGCTTGCTCTTTGCCGAGTCCAGTCTTGACGTTGGTCTCGTACTTTGCCTCGACGTCGGCAATCTGCATCATGTGCTCCTTGATCTGCATATCCTTCGTCTTCAAGTCGGTAGCCATGGTCGTAGAGTTGTCGTCAGTTGATCACAAGTACAGTCACAGTTGCAATGTGCAAAGAATACTGAGTAAGCACATTTTTATTGTCTGGAAGATGTTCGAAAACTAAAACATTTTAAAGTACTAAATACACGTCAAAATTTCAAATTAATTTTATTTGTAATTTATTACAGAATTGATTAAATCTCATTGTATTCACTTTTAGTTTGCTGTTCACGTTCTAGTGCGTCAGGCTTACTTTGCACAGGACAGTAGAAGCGCTCAAAAACCATAATGAGCATTGAAATGAAGACAATAATGCAACTAAAAAGGTACATCATGCCTGGATATGTGCTTACTGTGGCTGCAAATAAATTTGAGTAGATTAGAGATGACACCAAGGGAACCTTTTGACGACGAGCAATGTTAGCATTTGAATCCATTTTAAAGTCATAGCCTTACCAGTGATTCTATGGTGGATGACAGGCTGAATATTTTACCAACCTCCTCTTCAGTGACCAGCTTTGAAAGCTTCGTACGTATAGAAACAATGGCAATGCCTGACAGTGATCCAGTTGGTATGGAGATGTAGGCAGCTAGAGGCTTAATTAAGATGCCGCTTATTAGGTCGCTGGCAAAACGAGACGCTTGTGAAAGGAGAATCAGTGTTCCATCAAGAAGTTTGAGCCATTTCATGAGCAGTGCTGAGCAGAAGGCAAGGAGTGCCATGGAGAGCACCTGACTAATGGCACTAAAGGTGGTGATCGTCGAGACATCCCACCCGTAGGCAATCTGATTGAACTGAGTTGCCGCCACCTGGACACCAGTGGTGGTGATCACGGTGATGAAGAGAACAATGTACAGGAGAAAGATCTGCAGTCGCATTCGCTGGTCACGTCGTTTGAAGAGACACTTCAGTGTGTCACTGACATGATCAAAGTTGAAGAGAATCTTGAGAAAGTTTTTAGATTTTATACTGCTGTCCTTTGAGATGTCCACTTTTTTGTTTGATTTCTCACTGAGGCGCAGCAAGAACAACAAAACTAGTGCAATAGCATCAAAGGCTAATGATACAGAAAAATTGATGTAGTAGGTTCGCAACTGAGGACCTTCTGAGCAAACCATAAGCAACTTTCCACCAGAAAACATTGCTAGGGCAATGCCTGAAATGATATATAATTTATTTTACCGTTTTACTCTTGACCAGTAAACTTACCGACAATAAAAACAATCTCCAGCAAAACAAACTTAAAGCCTCGATTTCCTTCTTCGGTGTTGACAGAAATGTACCGAAATGCTGTGGTACTGAATGTAACCATGCCTCCGCTAATGATGGCGTAGAAAGATGCAATCAAAAGTAGATACGGACCTATTTAATTTTCTAAATGCATAAATAAAGTTTTTTTAAATTGAGTTTTACTTACTTGACTCAAAAAAGTAAACCAAGAGCAAATACACAGACATTTGAAAGAGTTCTCCCAAAATGTTTGCCAGCATCATCAGATAGGTGCCTCCTGAGTACTTGTCGAGAAATGAGCCTACAATTAGTGAATACAAGACCATTGGCAAACATTCTAAAAGGTTTCTGTAGACAAATACAAGGATTAGAAATCTATTTAGCCTTTTTCACAAACTGTCTTACTTGTAAGCAGAAAATCGCGCCGTTTCACCCATAATTTCATCGGCAATGATTTTGTCAGCACCAGAAGCATTGTGAATATTCTGACAGAAAGTGGCGTTTTGTCCATAGCTAACCACACACAACTTGTCCTGAATGAGCATATTGATTGCTATGTTGGAGACGTACATTGCCGACAATTTGGCAAAAAGAAAAAATTCAAAAAGAAAATAATTCTGCTTCTTCAATGTGGCAAACATTTTAAGTCGATTTTTGTTATGCTGTTAATTATTCTTGATAAATTGGCTTGAGTGTTAAATAAAATGCAGACCGTCAACCTTTTTATACGAAACCCGTGAATTCATATGCTTGCACAACTTTCAAACTTATCATCATTATAAAAAATGTTAGATTTTGATAAGTCTGCTTTTAGTGAATCAAAAGGTACTACTATAATGCCCTAATCATCTGTGACTAATCCAAAAGGTGATGAGATAAAGTAGTTGCTCACGTTTTTGCCAAGCGATATAGCAATATGACTGATAGTGTTCGCGTGCAATTAGCACCTGTAGTACAGTCGTTTTGACCGACGGTACAATGATGATTAAATGAGGAAAACCATAGTACTCTACTATTAGTGAGTAGATTTGGTTTGAAGATAGAGTAATGAGGGGAATCTATTTTTAAATCATTTTTTCCAAAACAATTTAATTTTTTATTGTTAACAAAAAAGCCGAGCTGCGCAATCTATTGATAAAACTCTTGTTGCTGAAATTCGAATTTTAGAACCGATTTGATAAAAAAAACATATTTAACAAACTGCAAAACTTTCTTTTCACGTGTCGCACACTCAAAATTGGTCTTCTCCAACACTTTACAAATATGACTACCAAAAGCAGTGTATGTAATGATACTTTGCTTTGATAAAACTGACATTTTCCCATTTTTGCCTTAGTCAAATAAAACTTTAGGAACATACGATCGTCTGAACCACGTCGACCCGGCCTCTATCTCCTGGCACAACATTGAAGTTTACTCCAAACCGCAGAAACAATACTGTTTTTTCAAATCGGATCAAAAAGAAGTGAAACTCATCAAAGGAGGTAAGATTGAGAATGTAAAAAAACTTACTTCATATAGATTTTCTCATGACTGAAAGTTTCTGGAGTCGTGAAGCAAGGAAAGACGCTGGCGATAATGGGATCATCAGGTAAGAAGAGCTCTCATTTTGTTTTTACTTGATTCTAACCTTTGTTTTCAGGAGCAGGAAAGACGACCCTTCTCAATGTGCTCACTGCTCGAAATCTGTCCCGAGTGGACGTGAGTGGTGTGGTGAAGATCAACGGTCAGGTAGCTGACGTGAAGATGATCACCGAGCTGACTGCCTACGTTCAGCAGGTGGACCTCTTCATACCACTGCTCACTGTACGAGAGCACCTTGTCTTCCAGGCAATGGTTCGCATGGACCGGAATATTCCGTTGAACGTTCGGGCAGCGAGGATCAATCAGGTCATGGAAGAGGTTAGTGTCGTGGTAGAGGCGTTCACTTTTCTTTTTACTACTAAAACTGCTGATTCCTTTGACTGGCAGTTGAGTTTGGTGAAATGTGCAGAAACACGCGTCGGCGGGGTTGGCGTTTTTAAGGGCATCTCCGGAGGTGAGATGAAGCGACTTTCTTTTGCAGTCGAGGTAATTTGGGGTGATTTTGATGAGTTTAGTGAAAACTAATCTAATCAACATTAGATTCTCACCAATCCGGCCATCATGTTCTGCGACGAGCCCACCTCAGGACTGGATGCCTTCATGGCAAAGAAGCTGGTGCAGAAGATTCGGCAAATGGCGCTCGCCGGGCGGACCATCATCTGCACCATTCACCAGCCATCGAGCGACGTCTTCAATCTGTTTGACAATCTGCTGCTTCTCTCAGATGGTCGCGTAGCCTACATGGGCAAACTTTCCGAGACGATCGCCTACTTTAATGAGCTGGGCTACAAGTGCCCCAACAACTACAACCCAGCGGACTTCTTCGTCAATGAGTTGGCCATTGAGCCTGGTCGGGAGTTTGAAAGCCGCATCAAGGTCAATGTAAGAAAAATAAGCTGAAACCAGGCAAACAGAAAAGCAGCACAACATTGACATCTTTTCTTTCTCCCCCTCTCCATACAGATGATCTGCGACTTTTATCTGCAAAAGTACTGTCCAAAGGAAAAGTTTCACCTTCAGAGCAGTTTCCTCAACACGCCCAATGTCGCTCCGTACAAAGCCTCCAGTTGGCAGCAGTGGAAGGCGCTCACCTGGCGCTCCGGCATTGTCGCCAATCGACAGCCAATGCTCATGTACATTCGGCTGTTCCAGGCCACCGTACGTACACGTCCACTAATGCACTAGTTACGAGCTACTTGTACTGAATACAAACATTGCCAACAGTTCATTTCAGTCATGCTCGGTCTGGTGTACTTCAAACAGGAGTACAACAACTTTGGCGTCATCAACATCAACACTGCCCTCTTTCTACTGAGCACCAACATGATCTACCAGAATGCTCTGGCTGTCATCAATGTAAGCTTTAGGGGCTGAGTTGTACAGTTCGCAGATTACTAACTGTTTGTTACCTTTTTTCTTTCAGACCTTCAGTGCTGAGCTTCCGATATTTATACGTGAACACAGTAGTGGTCAGTACGGCGTTGCGCCGTACTTTTTCGGCAAAAACCTCGCCGAGGTAAGCTGAGGTTCTGATAAGTACTACAACTAATCTGATGATAACTGAAAACCAGCTGCCTGTTTTTGTGGCCGTTCCAATCCTCTTCGTGACAATCTACTACTTCTTGGTCGGGCTTACGCTAGATTCCTTTGAGAACTTTCTCTTCACCCTGACCGTCGCCCTCTTTCTCTCTACGCTTGGTGTCGCCTTTGGTAAGCAATACCTGGCCTGATCAAGACTGTTTTTCTACCATATTCGGTAATTCATATAGGATACTTCATGTCGTGCATCTGCGGTGATGCCGATCTGGGTTTGGCCATCTCCCCACTTTTACTTATGTTCTTTCAGCTCTTTGGTGGTTTCCTAGTGAACAACCAGTAAGTAAAATTAATACGGCCAACTCTAATTCTAAACTGCATCTGTACAGCAAAATTCCCCAATACTTTCGCTGGGCAAAGGATGTTTCCTTCTACCGCTATGCTTTTGACCTGCTAATGTACAATCAGTGGCGAAATGTTAGCTCTTTGGACTGTGTTCCGGCGAATGACCTGGCCATCATTGAAAAGACAACCCGAATTGATGCCAACAGCAGCAGCAGCAGCGGTGCAGCGGTGCCCGATCAAGATAGAACCATGTGCTTTAAAGACGGGCTGCAGATAATGGACTTCTACGCAGTCACCCGGAACAGCATTTTCCCTTACTTTGGCGTTCTCCTACTGTACAACATTGGACTACGATTCGCTGGATACTTTGCCCTGTGGGTCCGATCGTTAGCTCGTGGTTGAGAAGCCACTATTATTAAAAAGAACATTGAACTTTAAAGGTTTAAACACCACGTAAACAGAAAAGCAGTTGCATCACCGATGAATCACCCAAACGCCAAATGACAGCTGATTTCACCTGCGTGCAACATCATAACACGCTTTCATTTCAGTCGCCCAACACTGCCGAGTTTTTGTGCAAAAATCATCGCAACCATGAGTAACCTTTCTGCTCGAAATTACACCGTTTTGAAGACTAACCTCAGACTGGCGATCCAACGTCTAAAGTTGGCGGCAAAGAAGAAAACTGAGCTGATACAAAAGTCTCGAAAAGAAATCGCCGATTACTTGCTGCAAGGTTTGAAAGCACCTTTCTTTACTCCATGCGGATGCATTTACCATCTTCTGTTTTTTCAGGCAAAGCGGATCGAGCTCGAATTCGAGCGGAACATGTCATTCGCGAGGACTTTCTAGTGGAGGCAATGGACATGGTTGAGTTGTTTTGCGATACAGTGCTCGCCCGATTTGGCATGGTCGAGCACTTGCCAACTCTGGGAGAAGATCTTGCCGAGGCGGTGTTCAGCCTGGTCTGGGTCGCGCCTCGACTAACTGCTGAAATTAAAGAACTCGATGTAGTTTCCTCACTACTGATCGCCAAGTACGGAGCTCAATGTGCAAACGTAGCCAAGGAGAGCTCAGTCAACAGTCCCGTCAACACCACGTTGATGTTGAAGCTCGGCGTAGAGGCGCCGCCGAAAGCACTAGTGGAACGTTATCTCTTAGGTTAGATCAGTTTAAAAACCGTTGTGCTTTCAAACACATTTGTTTACTTTTCAGAAATTTCCCGCATCTATAATGCACATTACAAGCCCGATGAAACAATTCTTGCCGAAGACGACCGCTATCGCCCGAATAACAACAACAATAACAGTGGCAGCGCTCCAAACACTCAACAGCTGGGCTTTGAAGCTCTGCAAAGTGATCTCCCTCGTGTGCCTCCTACGATTTCACCTGTCTCAAATGTCAAAAGCACACGTAAAAATGCAAACGAATTTTCTTGCACAAACGGAAAGATGTCATTCAAAACGTCGATCAACACCGAATTTGATGAGTCTCTTTTGCCGTCTGTTCCAAACTTTAATGAAGATTCGGAAAATGTTCCCCCTACCGAAAATCCACCAAATGGAAATGAAGACGCTGATGACGTCGACTACTTTCAGAACGTACTACGCCGATTCGAAAATCTGAAGAAAAAGCACACGTAGTGTATTGGATTCATCCTGTTACAGAGTAATTTGTCATCGATTTAATAAGTAATAAGTTCAAAATACAATCTATCCGTTTTTAATGGCGATTCAAAAACAAATTAAAATGAGTTACAGCCCAAAACGGCCTCCTGGAGTCCGCCGTGGAGTTGCTGCCGGTGTGTTTGGCCGCCTCAGGCCAGGAGTGGCAATCTGCGTGGATCGGGTAGAGGAGAGAATGCTCTGCGAATCATTCTCCTCCTTTCGACGACGAAGCAGCTCCTCGGCGACGGCCATCTCCTTCTCCATTTCCTTTTCGTGGTCCTTCTGCTCCTGCTTCCGCTCAAATCGCGACTTGTTCGACTCCTTCACCGAGTAGAACATCGGCCCCAGTTCGGCCAGCCAGGTGCCGTCGACCGCCGTCACGCACTGCATGTACTCCTTGGTGGTCATCACCAGTTCGTGGTAGATGACGTAGTCCGGCGTGAAGCCCATTCCGTAGAGGGCCGAAGTGGGGTGCAGGTGACAGGGCATGCCGGTGCGCATATTCACGTACTCACCGATGCCCTTCAGACGGGCCGCCTGGTGAAAGTAGGAGGAGCAGATGCACTTTCGAATGCAGTCCCACTCGTTGCCGCAGGAGATGACGCCCAGTCGCTGCGAGTCCATGATCTCCTTCAGCTGCTGGCGCACTTCGCGCACCTTGCGCAGCGCCTTGGCGTGCAGAAAGTGCTGCTGACACCAGTGCGCCGAGTACTTGTTGATGCGCCACTGCAGGTAGACGTTCAGCAGTGTAAGGTGGTCAGATTCGGGCACCTGAAACTTTTCACGCACTAGGTCGCTCTCCTCTTCGCGGCCTTTGGGGCGATAGAAGATGGAGGGCACGGAGAGCATCGAGACGATGATGAGAACCTCGGCCGAGCAGCGCATGTCAGTGGAGACGAGGAGCATCTTCGACATGGCCGGATCGAGGGGAAACTCGACCATGCTGCGACCGAGTGGGGTGAGTGTGCCCACGTTGTCCAGCGCGCCCAGGATCCACAGCTGGTACATCGAGTTCATCATGTTGTCCTCCGGCGGTGGGTCCATAAAGTGAAACTGCAGCAAGTCCTGAACACCGTGCGACTTTAGGAGGAGCACCACGTTGGCCAGGTTGGTTCGCTGAATTTCCGGCACTGTGTTGGTCAGAAGCTCCTGCTTGTACTGTCGCTCGGTGTAGAGACGGTAGCAACAACCGGGCCCGGTTCGACCTGCACGGCCACTTCGCTGATTGGCATTAGCCTGTGAGATGGGATAGATCTGCAGTGCGTCCATGCCGATTCGGGGGTTGTACACTTTGAGCTTGCAGTAGCCACTGTCCACGACGAACATGATGCCATCAACGGTGAGCGAAGTCTCGGCGATGTTTGTCGCGACGATACACTTTCGCAGTCCATTATCGGCCTTTTGGAAGATTTTCGCCTGCAGATCAGAAGGAAGTTGCGAGTAAATGGGCAGAATGGATAGATCTTGAATCGGGTTTTGTGACTTTTCCGACAGATCCTTCAGACGTTCCGTTATGACGTCGCAAGTGACTTCAATATCTTCCTGACCGGGCATAAACACCAAAATATCGCCCTCCAGTCCGCCGAGATGAATTTGGATTGTCTGCTTGACAGCAGCGTCAACGTAGTCCTCACAGGGGCTTTTTGAGAAGTACACCTCCACGGGAAAAGTCCGCCCTGGAATGGTAAACACTGGAACGTTTCCGAAGAACATGGCAAACTTGGAGGCGTCCATGGTGGCAGAGGTGATGATCAGCTTAATGTCAGTTCGGCGGGTGGCCACCTGGCGGAGGATGCCAAAGAGGACGTCAGTGTCGAGACTGCGCTCATGGGCCTCGTCCATGATCACGGCGGAGTAGTTGTCGAGGTCAGGCTCAGAGAGGGACTCTCGCAGGAGAATACCGTCGGTCATGTACTTGATGATGGTCTTATTGGAGGTACAGTCTTCAAATCGAATGGCGTAGCCCACCTCTTCGCCCAGCTTGACGCCGGCCTCGTCGGCGACTCGCTTTGCCACCGACATGGCGGCAACTCGCCTGGGCTGAGTGCACCCAATCATGCCGTATTTGGTGTATCCTTCCTCGTGCAAGTACTGGGTCAGCTGTGTGGTCTTTCCACTGCCGGTTTCGCCGACGACGATGACAATGTTGTTGTCGCGGATCACCTGCAGCAGTTCATTGCGCACGGCAAAGGCGGGCAGAAACTGCCGCTGTTGCGTGATCTTTTCTCGATCAGTGAGCTGGTCGTTTTCGCTAATGTGATCCTTGAATCGGTGTTCATTTTTGTAGTCAGCTTTATCGCCGTCAGCCATCTCGTCTTTGGGTTTTTCAATTCCCATGATGTCACCCAGGCGAGTTCCAGCAAGTTCCCACTCCTTTTTTTGCGCTTTTTTGCGCTCCTTCATTTCTCGATGATACCTCACCAGAGCGGAGCCTTTTCGGGCGAGAATGGCGAAATCAGAAGTTGGATCTTTGACTGGCACAATTGGTTCAGGTTGTTTGGTGAACACAATTCGCCCATCGAGAAAGGGCGGAACAATGTTGTGAACCATCAAGTGGACGCGACCAACATTGGCATCTTCGTCTTCGTCTTCGTCCCCGACCTTACTCACAACGCCAGACAGTAGCAGCCGGTTAGTTTCCCACTTTTCATTGTCTTTGTTGATTTGCCGTTGTTGGGCTGAGACGCGTTGGACAACGCGGGACTTTTTCAAATTCTCCTCCTTCTTTTGAGCATACTCTTCGGGCATATCGCCGAATGGATTCTGGTCACATTCATCGTCATACCACTCTCGATCAAGCCTGCGCACCTCATCTTCATCCTCTTCCCAGTTGTCAGGCTCATTTTCCAAGTTTTCCACCAAATTTTTCGATCTCCTCGAGCTTTTGTTGCCCCAGTTTTGTGGGGTAAATCTGGGAGTAAATGGGGTGCTTGGCGGCTCCCTTTCTCGGTCTGTTTGTCGTCGACTGGGCGTCCTTTCCCAGTTTCGCTCAGAGTTGCGGTCGTCCTCTTCGTCCCATGAAGATCGTGACGGCGTGGTCATCCTCCTCGACGTATCGGGTGTGCCGAGTGATCTCCATGGTTTGTTGACAGGCATCTCATCAGACTTAAAGTGTTTGCTGGAATGCCTATGCCTGTGTTTCTCTCGATGCCGATCATCTCGTTGTCGTTTACGTTCACGATATTCATCGCTCACACCGTCGGAGCTGGATGGCGTTTCAATTCGCTTTGAGCGGTAGTATCGCTCATGACTGTCTTTTTCATTGCGTCGAAATTCTCGTGAACTTCCCCCACTTTCGTGTCTTCTTTCTTCGTTGTTCAAAGAATCCTTTAACTTTTGTTCATCTCGTTTTTGGGCGGCCAACTTGTCAAGCCCCAAGATGGAGCCTTGCGGCTTTTTGAAGACAATTTCACTCTCAATAGATTTTTTCTTGGGCGCAATCAAGCCGCCCACTTCATTCTGAGAGCCCTCAAGCCGGTGAACGTTTGCCGTATCAAAGCTCATCACAAGATGAGTTGAGGAAAGATGCACAATATAAAATAAATATGAGATGGATTCACTAAAAAGCGGCAGAGAAAAAAAATTGAACAAAAACAATGCCTATGTCGACACAGGTAGCTCATGGTCGGGTGGAATTAGACACAGGTGTTTTTGAATAAAAACATTTTGAAATTCAAACAAAAAATGAATAGATTTTGTGCAATCAACCAGTGCAGCTGAGAATGAAAGATTCTGTTAAAATTATGTGCACTTTAAAGGTGGAGCTGCTGAATGAGGAGAAGGTGTGGTCGAAGGACCGTAAAAGTACTAGCCCTCGGCGGTTTCATTGGCAGGAGGAACAGCAGCAGCGTCAGCAGCTGCGCCGCCGCCGCCGCCTTCGGGAGCCTCGGCTCCCGCTTCGGCTGTCTCGACGACCTCGCCCTCCTCTGGCTGTGCCTCTGCTTCTGCCTCCTCGGGGGCGTTGTTCTCCGCCACCTGCGACTCGACCACCTGCTCTGCTGGGGGCAGGTTCTCCTCTTCGCCGACGTTGCCGCCCTCGAAGCCAGTGGCGTTCTCATCGACGCCGCTCTTGTCCTCCTTCTGCACCTCCTCCCAGTTGATCGCCTCCTCGGCGACGTCCTCCTTCTTCTGCTCGGACGCCTTCTTCACAGCCGCATCATCAGCAGTTGCCTTTTTGACTGTCTCTTTAGGGGCAGGCTCTTTGGTCTGCTCTTTAGCGGCGGCTTCTTTGGCGATCTCCTTGGTCTTCTCCTTGGCTTTCTCCTTGGCTGGCTCTTCGGCGGCAGGAGTCTCCTTCATGCCAATAGTGGACAAGCCGCCCACTCGAGAGTCTTCGCGTACCTCTCCAGAGTAGCCCTTGCAGTTGACCACTTTTAGCTCTTCGACGTCAGCAGTGAAGTAGGGGTGCTCCAGTAGTTTTTTGCTGGAAATGCGCAGTTTGGGATTGATGGCAAAGATGTTATGGCAGATGTTGCGAACTCTGGTGTTCAGCTCGTGGTTCTTGATAAACTCACGCCACTGCGAGGAGAACTTGGTCTTTTTATCGCGACAATTGAAAGGGTAGCGTTTGGTGGCCATGGCCACGAGAGCCACGCCCAGCGACCATATGTCCGCTTTAGCCGGGTTGTAGGAGTCCATGAAGGCTTCCGGCTGCCAAATGAAAGACAATTAAGTCTGTTGTTCTACTAGAGTCACAAGAGTACTAATACATACTGGAAGGTGGTAATTGCGACGAACACGACGCTCCTTGCGCTGCAGCTGAATGCGATTCTTGGGCGAGTCAAAGTAGAAGACCGACTTGCCCCAGCCGACCAGCTTGGCGTTGCCCACCGAGTCGAAGAGAATGTGCTGCAGCTTGATGGCGCGGTGGGCGACGCCGATCTGCTGCAGCTGGTGCACCCCAGTGGCCACCGACTTGAAGTAGGTGCGAATGTCCGCCGGCGTCAGGCTCTGGTTGGCCTTGACCATGTCGTACAGCGACTTGTTCGAGTCACAGGTGGCCATGAAGATGAAGAGCCGCATCCCGGCCACGTTGAAGATGTCCTCTACAGGGACGAAGACCGAAGCGAGCGGCTCGTGGGTGCGACTGCCGGCGCCGCTGATGTAGCGCATGATGCGCACCGAGTCCTTGAGCAGTGTGGAGCGGCTGCGCGGACTGCACTCCGCCAGGTTGATCACCTTCACCACCAGACTCTTCCCCGTGCCCTTCTTCGCGCGCAGCACCGTCGAGTAGTCGCTGGAGAAGATCTTCGGCCCCTCGACGGTGTAGCCCGACGCCTCCATGGCCGCCTCACTGGTCACCACATTAGCTCCCTTTGTCTCCATCACCTTGCGCACGTTCTTGCTCACCAGCTCCACCTCCTTGGAGGTCATCGTGCACAAGGACGCCGGGTCGATCACCTTGCTTCCCTTGCTGCCTTTGCTTGAATGCTTCGAGTGCTTCGAACTGGACTTCTTACTGCTGCCGCCAGAGTGCTTGCTTACTTTCGCGTCTTTGTTGCTCCCTTTGGGTTCTTTGGTCTCTGGTTTCGCCTTTATCTTGTACCCATCTTCAGAGGACTGAGCGGAGAGCTTCTGTGATGATGAAAATGAGCCTTTCGATGACTTTTGATCCTGAGGCACCTTTGGCTTGCTGTGCTTGCTTGCCGACTTTCGCTTTGAGTCAGATTTAGTTTTGCTCTTTGAGACGCTTTGCTTATTTTTCGACTTTGACTTTTTACTCTCTGACTTCTTCTGCTTTGACTTGCTTTTCTTATCCGAACTCTTTGATTTGGACTTTTGGCTGACAGCTTTCTTTGAGTCCTTTTCGGCGGACTTCTTCTTCTTGACCGATGGCTTAGTGTCCGACAGCTCAGAGGGAAGGGCAGCCTCAGATGGAGGCTGAGACTCCGCCTTGGAGATGACTGACTTGGAGCCGTCGTCACTCGATGAACCAGAAGAGGACTGCTCAATGCTTTTCTTCCCCATCGAAGGCTTCTTTCAGTGCAAAGTGATGAATTGACAAATGAAAATTTTTAACTGAGAGACACGTTTCAAATGAAATAATATTTCAAGCTGAGGCAGAGAGAATTTATGGCGAATGCTTAAGGCCACACAGTTCAAACAAAGTTCCAGAGTTTTAAATAATTTAAAATCGATCACTGCTTTAGTTTATCGGCGTTTTGTGCTTTAGAGTTCAATCGGCAATCGTTTTGGTCATGAGTGTGAGGACATTTCTGGAAAACAAAGCATGTGCAACTGTCAGCACGGTGGGAAGTATGCCTCCTCATCAGTTGACCGCTTACAGCGCCACACGTCCAACTGTTGAGCAACTGTACTTTCCCTTCACTATAAAAAGACATTGCTCTTTACCCTGCCAGTCTCATTCCCCAACACACATTTGCCTCTCCCTCATTTGTCTTTAGGTAGTTCTCTCTCCTCATCCTCAATCACAATGAAGTCTTTTGCTGTTTTCTCCTTCTTCGCCCTTCTCTTGGCATCCTCATCATCACTGTCACTTGTTTCCAGTCAAGGCGTTGGGAGCGACAATTTGGCCTCCTCTACAGCCACTCCTACCACAACTCCTGCCTCAACACTGGTTGGTCAACTGAACTCTACCCCGCAGTACTACTACCTTGATCTGAATCAGCCTCTCCTGCCTGCCCTGGTCAACGGCTACTTCCTTCAGCCTTTGGCCAACCTGAACGCCCGGATTTCCCAGACAGCTGCTGCCATTCCTAATCAGTTTGCTCAGAGTGGTCAATGTGAGTCTTTTGATTTTTCTCCTTTTCCACCCTACTCACTATTTTCCTCGTGCAGCACTGGGCCAGGCGCTGATGACGCCCATTCAGGCGGGTGCTTCTACGGCCAACAATGTCGTCACGCAGATCAACTCCACACTGATTTCTCTGTCCAATGGAACGGTGGCCCTCGTCTCTGCACCGATCGCCCTCTTCGGCCAGGTGAACACAGCCGTGAATGGCCTGGCACTGAACGCCCTCAACAACAGCACCACTCTGGTGGGACAGGGCATCAACAACTTCGGCGAATCAGTGTCCGGTGCAGGGCAAAATGTCCAGCAAATGGGCGGCAGCATAATGGCCTGGGCGCAGTCCATTGAGCAGATGCGCCAGCAGCTGAGCAATTCTACCAACACTACTTCGTCAACTACTACTACTACTGCCAACATAACTACCTTTTAAAGACTAATCTCATCAATGCCTATGTACTTATCTTACACGATTTTATCCACTCAGAAATGAAACTCATTTCTTGACTCCTACATTATCAACAATAAAAGTAAACATAGAACTAGCTAAACTTCTAGAATAACAATGGTCTACTTTTTAAACATAAAGTATTGTGCTCTTCCTGCATACTAAAAGTTCTCTGTTTGCAAATCTTCCGCTAACTACTACAAACTACTAGATTGTACGGCAAACTGTAAGAGGCAAGCCTAGTCAACCTAGTTTTTTCCAGCTAATTTACTACCTTTCCTTTAGTTTGATCAAACCAACAGCAATAGTTTTTGGTTGCTTGGAGCAGCCCAGCAGCAGCAGCAGCCAAGATGAGCAAACCTGATGAAAAGTCAGCTGGAGGGAAAACAACAACTCCCGCGCCAAAGTCGTCTTCAAAGAAGAGCAAAACTCCAAAGTCAGGCTCTACCAAAGCGGGCACCGCCAAGGGCAAAGAGTCCTCCAAAGGACTGAAGCGTGCCACTGCCCCATCAACTTCTCCCAGCCCAGCTGCTGCCGGCAAAGTCGGCAAAAGCGAACCTGCAAAAGAGCCCATCTTTCCGCCTACTCCGCCTCCTTCGCCGCCGATGCCGCCCACTCCTCCTCCAAGCCCACCACCGAAAAATGATCCATTTGGTGCTCCAGGTGGTGCTGGCGGTTTTGGTGGTGGTGCTGGTGGTTTTGGTGGTGGTGGTTTTGCTGGAGTTGGACCACCGCCACCCGCTCCATCACCAAAGAGAGATGGCGTTGCGAATGAGCTGCTCACTCCACTCGTTGCCGGCGGCGTTGGCGGCGGAGCTCCCCCAGTGGGCGGCGGCGGCGCCGTTGTGGCCATTGATTTGCAGCCGCGAGAAGGCCCGCTCCTGGGCACTCCTCCTCCGCCTCCATCAGCTGGATTCGCAGCTCCCTGTAACGGTAAACCTGCTTTTGGTGGAGTTGCCGCCCCCTCCGAGTTGAGCCCTAAAGGTTCAGACATTGGAGGTGGGCCCAGCAACGTGTCTGCTTTGGGAGGGGGTGGCGGTGGCGGTAGCATGATTTTTTCAAACCCACCTGGGGCTCCACCACGACCGCCGCCGCAGTTTTTGCAACCACCACCTTCTCCACCTTCTTCCCCTTCTCCTGCCAAAAACGATACTGCTGGCCCCTTTTTCAACACCTTTGATGGTCGCAAGTTACTGACTGATGCAATTGAGAAGATGCAAATGATCGCTAGCCAGAGAAAGCTCAATCGCCAGGTGTTGCTCACTGTTGACTCCTCCGGATCGGTGTTTCTGAACAACTACAACCCGGCTCAGCAGCGAAACATTGGTGGCGGTGGAGGTGGAGGCAACATGAGTGGCGGCCGTCGTCGTCGTCGTGGCCGTAAAAACCGCCGCCGTCGAAGCTCCGCCGGCTCAAATGGCAGTGCTCGAAGTGGAAGCCGTCGTAGTCGCCGACGCTCCAGTGGAGGAGGGCGAGGAGGTCGAAGTGGACGTGGCGGTAGACGTGGCCGAGGTCGCGGCCGTAGTGGTGGTGGGCGTCGCCGTCGAAGCTCTCGTCGCCGAAGTTCCCGTCGAAGTGGAGGAGGAGGTGGAGGTGGCCGAGGCGGCGGAAACTTCGGAGGAGCCATCAACTACGGCGGCACGGCTTCTCATTTTGGACAGTATGCAGCCCAGTACCAGCAAAAGCCTCCTCAGGGTTTTCAGCAGCAGCAGCAACAGCCTCAACAGCCCTCGCCTCAAGCTCAAGCTCGACCGCTCAACGATCACCGAGCTGGGGCCCAAGTGCAGAGAGGTGGGCCAGGTGGTGCTGGAGGAGCAGGCGGTGGAGGTGGTGGCGGAGGTGCTCCCAGCCGAGGGCCGTCCGCCGCACAGCCGTCCGGCATTGGTAGTCAGCCCTCGAACGCCAGCAATGCCAGCTCGGCCTTTGGTGGCAACTAGGGCTTCCGACAAAAAGGTTCTTCTGCCCGCCACTATTTACTATCATTGCCGGCAGCATTTTTCAATTCTAAATTGGCAGTTTGGCAGCATCATCAAGTTGCTCCACAAGTTGCGACAACTCGCTGCAATTTTTACACGTATTAAATTTTTATTTGAAATTATCTCAAGAGAATTTTAATTTCACATTTCACACTACGGCAAAACAACTGCCTTGTTCTGCTGTGCTTTCTTCCAAACAACTGGTTGCACGAAATTGCCGCAGACCGTATACGGTTGAACATGGTGGCGCTGTGTTTGGCATTTGTACTTGCCAGATTGCGTAACCGTTCAAGTTCGAAATTCCCACTGCGTTTTTAAATTGCGTCAACATAGATTCTTTTCAATCTGGTCAATTTGCTAACTTCTAGTGACGTTTCATTGAGCTGTGATTCAGTACTGTCAAATACAATAATGTCGGCTGAAGACTTGGGAGCAGGCAGTTCAGGCCGTCTCGGTCAAGAGTTTCGAACCAATGCCATCGTCGGCAACCATTATCGCATCATTAAGCGACTGGGCTCAGGTGAAACAGGCAGCTTTGTTATGATAACACCAAGTCATCTTGATCAAACATTTGTTTTCATTTTCAGGCTCATTCGGCGACATTTACATGGGCGAAAACCTGGTGAGTAATCCAAAGATGCAGGTGGCCATCAAGATAGAGCCAACTTGTGACAAAGCAGCTCAGCTGTACAACGAATTCAAGTTCTACCGCTTGATCAACGAAAAGCAAGGTTTTCCAAACATTTACTGGTTTGGACAATGGGACAAGTACAATGTCCTTGTAATGGTAAGCTGGCCAGAGTTTCTTACAATATGTCTTACAATATAACAACTTTAACGTTAGGATCTGCTGGGCAAAAATCTCGAAGACGTCTTTGAAGCTTGTGAGCTCAAGTTTTCACTCAAAACTATAATTCAGTTGACTCTTCAGCTACTCGACCGTTTTGAGTTTTTGCACAGCAAAAGGTTTGCTCGAGGTATTGACTCTTCAAAACTTGTACTCAACTTTTTTTTAAATTTGTTTCAGTATCATATACCGAGACGTGAAACCGGAAAACTTTCTTCTTGGCCGAGCTGGCTTTCCTAACCAGAACACAATTCACATTGTCGACTTTGGGCTGTCCAAGGAGTTCATAGATCCCATTACCGGAAAGCATATATCCTACCGCACAGGCAAATCGCTGACCGGCACAGCTCGCTACATGAGCATCAACACACATCAGGGCGTTGAGCAGTCTCGTCGTNAACTTTCTTCTTGGCCGAGCTGGCTTTCCTAACCAGAACACAATTCACATTGTCGACTTTGGGCTGTCCAAGGAGTTCATAGATCCCATTACCGGAAAGCATATATCCTACCGCACAGGCAAATCGCTGACCGGCACAGCTCGCTACATGAGCATCAACACACATCAGGGCGTTGAGCAGTCTCGTCGTGACGACCTGGAGGCGCTGGCTCACCTCTTTGTTTACCTACTGCGTCAAGGCAAACTGCCATGGTCAGGCCTGAAGGCACCCACTCTGAAGGAGCGCTACCGCAAAATTGGCGAAGTCAAGGTGAACACTCCCATCGACGAACTGTGCGCTGGATTTCCCGAAGAATATGCAAATTTACTCCGATACTCACGAAGTCTAGGCTTCTATGATGCGCCCGACTATGAAACTATTAAGGCCGGTTTTGTTGAGCTCTACAACAAGATGAACTTTGAAGATGACAAGTATGACTGGGAAGGCAAGCTCAACTAGCGATTATGACCTGAGCACATTGTTGGCTCATTTTGATGTGTACATTCAAATTTTTGACAGATTAGTAAACATGATACTTTGAAGATGAGCTTGGTAGATTGCCGTTTATCTGGTCGTGGTAATGGCAGTGCTGATTATCACATTTAAAATTACACTTTTGACGCTTATCTAGGTTGATTGCGCTGCAAGACAAAGCATACTATCAGTGCTAACTACTTGAGGAGGAAACATATTAAGGGCAATATTAGTTTGAAAATCACACTCATAACTTACCTTTTAGCATAAAAACAGCTCATCTTCTAAACATCAATAAGCCCACTGCTCTAAACTAATCAAAAACAATGTTGCT